TTGTACCTGGAGCTGTCAGAGGCAACTTGAGACTGGTGTTGGTTCCTTCTATTTCCGGCCTATTGGGCTGGACTCTAGTAGCACCTTCAGGCAGGTTTTCTGCAAGGTTAAATCGGGAAAAATGTGGCTGGGCTCGAGATCTGTTTTTCTGCCAAACAACAAAGATTTTTATTTTGCTTTCTTGTATTTTCACTCGTTTTCAGCTCATCCCTATCATTACAGAAAAACTGCTGCCTGTAGCCCACTCAGAAGTAAGCTCTGGAGGCTTTGGACTTTATTAGGGATTTTAAAGTTTAAAGTCAACTTGTGGAACTCTTGTGAAGGCCAAGACTATAACAGGGTTCAAAAGAGAGCTAAATACATTCATGGAGGTTAGGTCCACCAATGGCTATTAGCCAGGACAGGCAGGGATGGTGTCCCTAACCTCTGTTTCCCAGAAGCTGGGAATGGGCGACAGGGCATGGATCATTTGATGTCTTCCTGTTCTGTTCATTCCCTCTGAGGCACCTGGCATTGGCCACTGTCAGAAGACAGGATACTGGGTAAGATGGACCTTTGGTTTGACCCAGTATGGCCGTTCTTATATTCTAAAGTTAATTTAGGGCTGAAAAAAGGCCTGGAAGCCTTGGAGACTATAATCCTCCATTTATCCACAGAACAGGTACAGCATGGGCAACAACAGTGGAAACTTCCCTTACAATGTGCCTTCATTCTGACTTGGAGAGAGACACCTTTAAGGGAAAAGGGGAAAATCAGTTTCCATGTCTATTCAATACTTGGGGCTCAATTATCAGCTGGTGTGAACTGTCATAGCTCCATTGACTTCAATTAAGCTATGACAATTTACACAAGTTGAGGATCTGGCCCAGGTCTTTCTGCTGAGGAGGTTGACAAGATGATCTAAGAGATGTTTTCCATTTCTGACTTCTGTGATTCCAGGAGTCAAAGTGCGCCTCTTTACTTCTAAGCTTGAGCAAACGGGTTTAGAAAAAAACAAAACAAAAGAACACTGGCTCAAACCTCCATCCTAAGAGGGGCCCTGATTTACCAAAGCATTTACACATGATTTGTATATTGGAAGTTTTACACTCCTGTGGAATTTCTAAGCCTTGCTTTAGGAAGGAGTCTAGCCTCTGTGTATCTTCTTATAACAATGGCTTTTAAGTGTTTTCTTAAAACACAAGACAATCTCCCCAAACCCTTAGATTAGTAAATTAACCTGTTCACAGAAGATGCTAGGGAAGAGACTGGAAATTCTTAGAGTTGAAACTTAAGAACTGACTGCAATGGACTTGAGCATGTGTCTGTGCAGGAATGTTTGGCTGCATCAGGCTGCGAAATTTAACGTTTTTGATAGTTCGAATCATTTCTCTCTACCCCATTCTGTATGCTGTTGTGAGCCCTAGAGCTCCACTCAACCCTTACGCAAACATTTCTAAACAGGTTATACAACCCATGGCAGGGTCTCAGTAAACCTCTTCCTAACAATCTGCTGTTTATAAAGCTTGCATTCTCCAGGCATTCCATGGCATCTCAGGCAAAATGCATTCTGGGGTAATTCTGATCCAGAAACATAGGAGCCAACTTCCTCTCTACCCGGAGGGGTGCTCGACCCCCCCCTCTGCCCCAGGCCCTGCCCCCACTCCACACCTTCCCCCAAGTCCCCACCCCCACCCCCATCCCACCACTTCCTATCCTCACTCCGCCCCTGGCCTCACCCCCACTTCACCCCTTCCCCCAAACCACCCCTCATCCCGCCTCTTCCCACCCCGCCTTGCCTCTTCCCCACTTCTTTCCTCCCCTTCCCCTGAGCATGCCCCGTCCCCGCTCCTCCCATTCCCTCCCAGCGCCTCCTGCACACTGCAGAACAGCTGGGAGGGAGGGGGAGAAGTTGATAATTGGGGCTGCTGGCGGTAGGGAGGAGCTGGGGGGGAGGGGAGGAGCTGGCTGCCAGTGGTGCTAAGCACCCACTAATTTTTTTCTGTACATAGGTGCTGACTCCCTGGGTGCTCCTATGTCCAGAAATACTTCTAGCCCATAAGATCTGAAGATAGATCAGAACAGGGCCCAGTAGAACCTGCCAAATCTGCTGAGACTCCACCACCACAGATTTGTTACAGTAACATCGAAGATAGGAAGGAAAAAGGATCAACATGGTAGAGATAAAGAATGTGAGTCACCTCTTTAGATCAGAGATCTGATTTATTGAAGAAAAAAAGACAGGAATTTAGAGAGCAGGGATCAGAGAAGGACAGAGCAGTTGGGAAGAATGAGGAAGAGAGAAGGAACTGGTTGGATTTTTAAATGCCAACATTGAAGATGACTTCAAAAGGTAGAAGTAACTTTGGATAATCATCAAAACTTATGGGGATATCCCAAATTAGCTGCCACATCTTTTAGGTATTCACCCATCACTATTTTTTTTTAAATTGAAGCTGTGCTAGTGAAAATGGAAACTGAAAAAAAAATCTTCAGTAAATTATATCTATCTACATATATACAAACATCCAGATAGGTCACTAATCAGATTTGCTAAAATTCCACTAGGTCCATTAGAAACAAATTGGTTAACATGAAACAAAAGTGTCTAACAATCAGATAGACAAGGTGAGTGAGATAATATCTTCAGGGCCTGAAAGAGCTCTGTGTGGCTCAAAAGCTGGGCTCTCTCTCTCTCTCTCTCTCTCTCTCCTCCCCCCAACAGAAATTGGTCAAATAAAAGATATTGCCTCCCCCACCTTGTCTCTCTAATATCCTGGGACAGACATGGCTACAACTACACTCCATATAAAAATGTCCTTTAATTCACCTGAAGCAATAGGTGCACATTCTGCAGGTTCTTTGCTATGTGAGGAAGGCCGCTGTCTTGTGGATGAGGTCTGGTGGCGTTTACAATGAAATTGTGCTTCGTTTGGCCTTCCAGATGAGGGAGTGAACTAACACTGCTATTGAATTTCTGAAGTCAAATAAATAAAAATGACATGGCAAGCTGGTAAAGATTTTTTTAACAAAACAGCTTAGTTTGAAGGAGTGACCTCTATAACTTTTCTATGCTTTTAACATTGATTTGCCAAAAACGTATAAAAAATGTACATGAACACAATTATTAATAGATGAACAGATACATTAAAACAGCAGCACTAGTTTCCACTATAAATTCATGGCATGAGTTTCCTTAGAACTACCTAATTTTAGTTTCTCGTAACTTTTTTTTAAATTTCACCTTCTGAGTTGAAATTTTGCGGTATATTTTCCAGCCGAAATGTTATATTTTTTTCTGGAAAATTTGAGCAAAATTCAGTCAGCAATTTCTGAGTTAAGTGTGGAAAAAAAATCCTGGCTCTAACCACCAGACTATAGAGTCATTTTCATGCTTCTGCTCACTCTCGCTCTCCATCCTTCCTCCCGCCCACTCCCCCAATGACATCAGAATGGCTGTATAGCCTGGTGGTTAGAGCACTCATCTGGGAGGCGGGAGGATCCAATCTCCCCACTCTAATGACTCTCTCATTATTTATCCAGAGTGCAATACCTTCAAAAGGAGAGACTGAGGGAGCCCCACATCCGACTATCCCAGTGACTAGAGCATTAATCTAAGATGTGGCAGATTCCTGTTCAGATCCCTTCTCCTCCTCCAAGTGGAGGGGAAACTTGAACCTGGGTCTTCCACATCCCAGGTGAGTACCTAAATCACTGGGCTAAAAGCTATGAGGGAGGTTGAGATCCCTCCTCCCCAGTTTTGTGTGAACTCACCTGAGGGGCCCGATCCAGTAGGCAGTCTCTGAGAATGCCTACAGGATTGGACTCCATACGTGACTTACGCAGCCGAATGCCTATCTTCCCCTGCTTTGTGAACTGCTGATGTTTAGGCGGGGGATAGGTGTCTTGAAACCTAGAAAGAGGCAACAGTGCAAATGCCCAGAGGCCAAAATATAGGCACTGAGTGAGTTTAGGCGCCTACAGGGTTCCATGAAAGTTGTGTATCGCACTGGGACTTAGGTGCCTAAAAAGGGACTTAGGTGCCTAACGCCTTTTGTGCGTCCAGGCCTAGGTCCTTTTGTTATTTGCAAAACACTGCTGCATCACAAGTGCTTTAAACTCAGTTATTGATGTGTGTGGTAATAACTTTTGTGACTGGTGGGAGCTACCATATTGGGTAACCTTCCTCTTGTAGACAGATTTGAATGCAAAAATAGGTTCTGATCCTGAAAGAGATTGCCTGTGTGCTATCATTAGCAGGATCAGGACCATAGATTATGTGTTGAAAGTTTTATACTCCTGTAGAATGTCAAAGCTCTGAAGAAGGAGAGAGTCTGGTTCCTATGGTGCTTATAACGACAAGGGGTTTTTCCTGTATTTTCTTAAAAAACCCAAACCAAGCTCCTGAGATGAATAAGTTGTTCCTTTCACAGGAAATACAATGGAAGGGACTGGAAATTCTTAGAATTGAAA